TCATCGAGCTTGACCTTCACTCCAAAAGCAAACGGCGGCATTTTAGCGACGTGTAATTTAGCTCTCAAGGCCACGTGGGTTAGGACATCATCTACGGAATTATCAGAGTCTTGTCAAAAGTTTTTTCTTGTCTCCATTGGGTGGTTGCGGGGGCTGTTTTATTCATTGGTTTCTGTGTTGTTTTGTGTCTCTGTCTGCATGTCTGTTTTGGTTGTATATCTGTCTGTCTTCTCTGTCTGTCTGGTCTGTCTGTATCTCTCTCTTTCTTTCCTCCCTTCTCTCTCCCTTTCTCTCTTCTCTCCTTCTTCCCCTCTCTTTTCTCTCTCTCTCTCTCTCTCTCTCTCTCTCTCTCTCTCTCTCATCTCCCTCTTCCCCTCTCTCCCTCCCCCTCTCCACCCTCCCCCCTCTCTCTCTCTCTCTCTCTCTCTCTCTCTCTCTCTCTCTCTCTCTCTCTCTCTCTCTCTCTCTCTCTCTCTCTCTCTCATCTCTTCTCCTTCCCTCCCTCCCTCTCCCTCTCACTAATCCCATTATCCCTATCCCTCTCTTTCTCTTCTCCCTCTCCCTCTCCCTCCTCTCTCTCTCTCTCTCTCTCTCTCTCTCTCTCGCTCTCTCTCTCTCTATCTCTATCTATCTCTATCTATCTCTCGCTCTCTCTCTCTCTCTCTCTCACACACATCACACACACACACACACACACACACACACACACACCACACACACACACCACACACAACACACACACACATACAGACAGCTTGTATGAGTCGTACGAGTGTCTGATGATAAATTGTTTATTTTGATAGATATGCAAACAGATTAATAGATAAACAGAATAAAGAACAGTAACAACTTTTGAATTTCAATGCGAGATATTGACTCGGATAACAATAACATGCAAAATAGTGATCGTGGTCGTAACAATAAACAAAAAACAACAAAACAATGACAAAATCACGGATAAACAAAAGAAAACAATAATATGATAAATGATAATAATATCATAATAACAGATAATAATAATGACTAAACAATAATGATAAGCAGATATGATAATGAAAAAATAAAAAAACAGATATGACACGGATTGTTACAACGAAAAAAGTAATAATAACAGCAACAAAACAACAACAATGGTATTAATGATGAAAATAACAAAAACAATAACAAGGATGACAGGGGTTATTAATGCAAATAATAACACTAATGGCCACAATTGCAGGAGATGAGCAAGAAATTCGCAAAAACCGAAGCCAAGTTTCTCAAGCCTTCCGCCTCCTGGTTCTCCTCCTCTTCTTCCTCTTCCTTCTACTCCTCCTCCTCTTTTTCATGTTTCTTGTTTGTGTTTCTTGTTTTCTTCTTATTTCTTCTCGTCTTTTTCTTCCTCTTCCTCCTACTTCTCCTCCTCTTTTTCTTGTTTTCTTTTTTGTTTCTTGTTTTTTCTTCTTATTTCTTCTCGTCTTTTTCTTCCTCTTCCTCCTATTGTATTTTTTACTCTTTCTCCTCCACCTCCGCTTCCTCCTTTGTTGTCTTCTTGTTCTTCCTCCACAGCCTCTACCTGTTTTTCCTCCTCCTCCTCCACCTTCTCTTCTTCCTTTCTCCTCTTGTTCCCCATTCTCCTCCTGTCCCCCTCCTCTTCTTCTTATATTCTTATTCTTACTTTTCCTCTCCCAACTCTTCCTCCCCCTCTTCGTCTGCTTCCCCCTTGCCTCTGCCTGCTTCTCCTCCTCCTCCTCTTCTTCCACCGCCCCGCCTCCTCCGCCTCCTCCTTCTTTTCCTGTTCCACCTCCGCCTCCTCGTTTTCTCCTCCTCTTTTTCCATATCCTCTTCCGCCTCCTATTTCTCCTATTTCCATCCCCCCCCTTCCTCCTCTCCTCCTCCTCAACCACCACCTCCTTCTCCTTCTCCTTCTCCTCCTTCCTTCCTCCTCCTCCCTCCTGCCTCTTCTTGCTCCTCCCCCCTCCACCTCCCCCTCCTCCTCTCCTCCTCCTCCCCCTCGTCCACTCCCACGCGCGTCCTTGGCACTGAGAGTAAACAAGACAAAAATGAATATGAAGGATGTCTAAGCCCAATACACCTCCCTCCCTCCCTCCCTCCCTCCCACTTCTGTTCTACAAGTCTTCGCTCCTCTCCCTTCCTCCTCCCCCCTCCTTCATCCACCTTTTCCTCCTTCCCTTCTTTCATCCATCTTTACTCCATCCTCTCTTTCTTCCCTTCGCTCCTCTCCTTCCTCCTCCCCTCCCTTTCATCCACCTTTTTCCCTTCTCTTCTTTCATCTTTTATTCCATCCTCTCCTTCCCTCCCTCCGTCTTTCTCTCAGTCCCTTCTTCCTTTATTCATCCAATCATACATCCCTCCCTCCCTCCATCTTTTTATTCCATCCTCTCCTTTTTCCTTCCCTCCCTCCGTCCTTCTCTCCAGTCCCTCCTTAACTTCCTTCCTTCATCCGTTCATCCATTCATCCTTTTCTCTTTCTCTCCTTCCCTCTCATCCCTATCTTCCTCCATTCCTCTCTTCCTCCAATCCTCCATCCCTTCCTTTTAATCCATCAGACAACTTTCTGCTTTCCCTCCCTCCTTCCTTCTTTCTCACTTGATCCCTCTCTCTCCTTCCCTCCATTCTGCGACCCTGCTTCCCTCCTTCCCTTCCTCCCTTCTCTCCCCTTCTCCCTCTTTCCTTCTCACACTCCCCCTCCTTCCAGCACAACCTCTCCCTCCCTCCCTTCTGAATATAACTCCCTCCCCTTCCCTCCCATACGGTCCTCCCTCCCTCCCCCTCCCTCCCTTCTAAATACAACTCCCTCCCTTCCTCTCATACGTGTCCCTCACTCCCTCCCTTCTCACCTCCCTCCTTTCTCTCCCGCCTCCCACGCACGTTTCCCTCCTTCGTACCAAGACAACCATCATGCCCGCTTCCCCTCCCCCCCCCCATCTTCCTACGAAATTACCCCTTCCTCAGCCCTCCACCCCCCCTTCCCTCAGCAATCCAACCCCTTACTACCCACATCCCCAACCTTCTAGCCCCTACGCCCACGCCCTACAACTCATTTCCCCAACACCTTCCCTACCACTTCACCCTCCACACCACTTCACCCCCTCCAACCTACCTCTACGCCCAACAAACTCTCCTTCCCCACCCTCTCCAACCCACCTCCACGACCCCCTCCCCAACATTCACCCCTTCCACCTTTCCCAACCCATCCCCAGACTCCAACCCACCTTCTTCACCCCCTCCAACCCACCAGTCTTCACCCCCTCCTACTCCCCCCTTCCTCCTACCCTACCCACCCACCTCTCCCCCATTCCTACCCCACCCACCCACCCTCTCCCCCCTTCCTACCCCACATTACTACCCCCTCCTCCTACCCCACATTACTCCCCCCCACCTCCCCCCATTCTTACCCCCTCCTACCCACCCATCCACCTCTACCCCTCTCCTACCCCCCCCACCCACCTCCCCCCCCATTTCCTACCCCACCTCCCCCACCCCCCTACCTCCCTTGACGTCATCTGACAAGTCGGACCCGGCACAACGTCGCGCAAACAGCTGGCCAGTCACACTCGCGCATTCCGGGACCCGCGCGCGGGGCATACGTCACCGGCGCGTCACGACCTTGAGGTTCATTATACGCACAAAAAAGAGAAAAAGAGAAAAATAAACAAAAAACCAAATACATTGATTCTTCCTCCCATTTCCTTTTCTTCATCTTTAGCCTTCTTTTCTTATTTACTTTTTAACTTATTCGCTTTCTCTGCTCTTCCTCTTAACTTCGCCTGCTTCTCTTAGCTTGTTCTTCTCCCTTCATTCACCTTCTCCTCCTCTTTCATTTTCTTCCTTCGCTTCCTCCACCCTTTCTCTTCTTATTTACCTCCTCAAAAAAAAATAATAATAAAATAAATAAATAAATGATAATAACAAATAAATAAATAAATACCGTGTTTGATGATTCATCGGGTTTCGTAGCGAGTTTCAGCTACTTTTAAGCGCTGATGACTACCTACCTACCACACATCTCCACACCCTCCTACCCCTCCCCAACATTCACCCCCCCCCTTCCCAGCCCTCCAACCTACCTCCACACCCCTTCCCCCCCTCCCTTCTTTATTTTCGATCATGTGAATGGTGATATGTGATGGAATCAACGATAACGTACAGTTTATGATGTGGTATAAGTAATAATATGCGGTATATATTTGGAAAAATAATAAAGGCTATTTTGGGATTTTTCTTTAAACATAAAAAGTTGAATGGTAGGAATAAACAATGTATATTGTAACAGGTATGATGATGATATATATTTATTTTACATTTTGAAAGGGTGATTAAATGATTCTATTAAATGTTACATAATTGTTTATATGATAAATAAAAAATGTATAAGGTAAAATATATAATATGGTTTAAATACCTTATTATACAACAAAATATAAGCTTCATGTAAAAATCTCAAAAAGGAAAGACTCCAAAGCTAAATCAATTCCATAAATCATGTAAACTCTCTAAAATATTACCATAAAGTTTATAAAATACTATTTATTATCAAAAGACTGATGACTCTCAACAGTAATTGAATCCAATACACGACGTAACGAATCTATCCTAGGAAAAGACTTCCTAATAATAAAATACTAAAAGACTGATGACACAACAGTATTCGAAACCAATACACGACGTAAAGAATCTATTCTAAAAAAAAACTATAATAATAACTAATATTAAAAGACTGATGACTCCCAAGAGGAATCGAAGTTTACTTCGATTGACTCCAAACCTCTTTTTTGTAAATCAAATACCCCGTATTTATGAAAATCCTTATGGTAAAAATTAGGACAACGAAGCTATATATTTTTTTCGTTTCTAGATGATATCACACTCTCATTTTCACTCATCTTTCACTTCTCTACTTACGCTTTTTCACACTCATTTTCAATCATCTTTCACTTCTCTATTTACATCTGTTCTTCGTTTTTTTTTTTATCTTAGAAAACAATATGGATTCTTACCTGCTTCCGATCCCCTTCTCACACTTCCACGGGAGAAGAATTCACCTGGGGGAAAAGGAGAACAAAATGAGACACTGGTCGAAAGAGTGCTAAAGATAGAAAGAAAAAATAGAAAAAGAATCTTCATCATAATCATCATCAGAAACATTAGAAGCATCATCAGCATCACCATCACACACCATCTTCATCAATCATCACATCACAACCATCATCATTATCATCACCACCATTCCACATCACCACCACCATCACCACCATTCATCACCACCACCACCACCAAATCACCACCACCATCATCATCATCATCACCATTAATATCAACAATACCAACAGAAGACAAAATAACAACAATGGAGATAGTACGATGACAATGTCGCTGTTGATATTTGCAAAGTTGATCAGCATTCAGCAGGGACGAGCCATCTTTAAGAATCATGATGAGTTGCGTCTCCCAGACTGGTTCCTTCGAGACGAGAGAAACTCTTGCTTCAAGTTTTTCGTTCTCTGTCTCTGTCTCTCTCTCTCTCTCTCTTCTCTCTTTCTCTCTTTCTCTCTCTCTCTCTCTCTCTCTCTCTCTCTCTCTCTCTTTCTCTTTTTCTCTCTCTCTCTCTCTCTCTCTCTTCTCTCTCTCTCTCTCTCTCTCTCTCTCTCTCTCTCTCTCTCTCTCTCTCTCTCTCTCTCTTCTCTCTCTTCTCTCTTCTCTCTCTCTCTTTCTCTGTCTCTCTCTCTCTCTCTCTCTCTCTCTCTCTCTTCTCTTCTTCTCTCTCTCTCTCTCTCTCTCTTCTCTCTCTCTCTCTCTCTCTCTCTCTCTCTCTCTTTCTCTTTCTCTCTCTTTCTGTCTCTGTCCTGTCTGTCTCTGTCTGTCTGTCTGTCTGTCTGTCTGTCTGTCTGTCTGTCTGTCTGTCTCTCTCTCTCTCTCTCTTTCTCTCTCTCTCTCTTTTCGTTCGGCGTGTTCCATTTTCTTTGTGTGTTAAGATGTGCGTGCTCTTAGGTTATTGCAGTTGTGACGAGCTCGTTAGGAAAGAAATGGCGAATTTGATTTTTATTTATATATAGTAAAGTACTGATGCTGAAATTACTTTCACTTTCGAATATTGATGCACTCGAGGCTATGTATAAAAGATAATCATCTTGCAGGATTCGAAGATTATGCAATGTAAATGAACTAAAATTATTGCTGAACACAAGCTGATGCAATAAACAACTAAGCATGCTGTTTAGTTGTCATCACTGCATTTCCAGCAGTTTATATATATACATATATATATATACACCACATGCATATACATATGTATTATATGTGTTTGTGTGTGTGTTTTGTGATCAGATCACATACTTTTTTTATTTAAAGATTTAGTTGTCATCATTGCCGGAAATTGAACAGAACAGCCGATATCCTTGGATAATAATACTCAGCGGTCCATGGGTCAAAGTATTTTTAATCCGCCATGCCACCCTCCCAGATGATAAAATATTTAACAATAACCTGATTCATGGGTTAATTATTTTATGACCCACCCACCGTAACCTTTTTAAAAAGTATAATCATGGAAAGCAATATTGTTGTAACTTTTTTTTTTTTTTTTTTTTTTTGCAACTTTAGCACCAAAAGTAACTTGTCGCCTTTTGTAAACAGAATAAGCGATAAATACAGAGTTTTACTTTCTAATGATGTTTCATATTTGCATATATATGAGGTGAGTAGCTCGCAGACATTCATAAGCTGACCTGTCACCTGATCTCATTGCCTGAATTGCCTTCCACTCTCTCTACTCTATTATTATTGTTATTATTATTATCTTCACCTCTTTCTTGCTTTCGCTTTTTGTTCTTTCTTTTTTTTTCTTTTTGTCGTTGTGTTATTATGATTATGTAGTAGCAGTATTGTTGTCATTATTACTATTGTTATGATTATTATGATGACCATCATCATAATTGCTATCACTTCACTACTACTACGTCTACTACTATTGTTATTGTTATCACTATTGATGTTATTATTAAGAACTGGCTTACCTCTCACCAACCCGTCTTTCTCTGCTATTCGCCAACACACACACAGAAGACCATCCCTACACTCACAATAACTTCAAAATTCTTTCTACATCTCCTAACAGACTAGACCTCCTCATCTCAGAGTCTCTGTTAATCCACAAGATGAAACCAGAGCTCATCAACAACCAGACAGCCACACAGTTATTTACGGTGTAATTTGTACCCGTAACTGCTTGTTTCCCCATTCATGGTGTGTTTGACTTTTGTATATATTTCCCTTATCTTTTCGCTGTTTTGTTTCTTTTTTCGCTCTTTGTAATATGTATATATATATATATATATATTTTTTTTTTTTTTGAACTTTAATTTTGTGCCTTGTCCGGCTCTAATGTTTTTACTTGTTTTTGTTATTTTATAGCACTGAAGATGAATCGTCTTTGAAACGTTTTGCCTCTTAAGATGTTCATTACAGCATTGGCTATAATTTTCATCGTAAGATTACGCT